CCGCCTCTACCGCCTGCGGCTGTGCCTCGCCGAGGAGCTGAGCCACCAGGCCAAGAGGGAGAGCGCGGCGCGGGCGGCGGCGGCCCCGGGCGCGCGGGTAACGCGGCGGTCGGGACTCAGGGCGGGTACGCGGGCCGCGACGGTGCGCACGCGGCGGTTCTCCGGCAGGACAGGCGCGGGTGCTGGAGGAGCCCTGCAGGGTGTGCCCCGCGTGCAGCACCGCACGAGCGCCCCACACCCGGTGCCCTGCCGTGCGCTGCCCTGTGCTGCTGCGGCGGCCTGATTCCCAGCAATCGCCAGATCGCCCTGAAGGTGTAATTTCTCAGCTCTTCCGTGAAATAGCTTGCCGCACATTTTTTTAGCAGCAGAAGTAGCATTTTCATTTGTTGGAAAAAATGGTTGAGTGCTTAAAACTCATTATTCTTGGGCAGAAAGATCAATAGCTACACACGCAAACCCTCCATTCCCTGCAATGGCTGGTTTTGAGCTACTTAGGACAGGTGGTTTTGGTTTTTTGTTCACTTGTTTTGGTGGTCTATCTTGAGAGATCTGTATATTTAACTTCATTTAATACAGTATTTTAGTATTTTAGTTCATTAAAGGACAAATTATCTTCCTGTAACATAGTAAACTTTCTGAGTTCTGAAGGCTTTCTCGGACTGTGAGATGTCCTTCAGTTCTTTACCAAGTGTCACTGTGTTGCTCTAGCAACATCTTGTTGAAATAGTGCATTTAAAAACTGGTGGCAGCTACACATTTTCCAGCGATATTATTGGTTTAAAGTTTAGGGAATATTTTTAAAGAGCAAAATATATTAAATGTGGTTAACAAGAATGAAATGCACAGACAGGAAGGACTCAAACTTGGAAAAGGGCTTGTAGGTGGTGATCATGTTGGAGGCAGAGAGCCTCTAAACATGCGGCCCTTGCAGCCTTTTGGCATGTCCCCGTCTTTCCTCAGTTTTTGGATACGTTGCTCCTTCTTGCCATTGGTGTAAGTCATTTATAATTTATCTTTCAGTTTCCTTCTAATCAAAACCAAGAAAAGAACACTGAAAAGAAAATGAAGGAAAGCTGGCCCAAGAGTGAGGTAAGTCATTGCTGTGGAAATAATATAAAACACTACCTGTAATTCTAAATATGTGTATATAGTTAATTACCCAGGATTTTAAATAAAAACATAATTACTGTACTAATTAAATTATTATTTGGGCCACATTAATATGTATAAAACTTTGCAATCCTTAGATACGAGATGTATTATCTTAGAGATGAGCTAGCCACACAGCTGTAGTTAAGTCTGTTTAAGTTGCGATAGCAGAGCTCTTCTTTTGTGTTAAAGAAACTGGCTACTTTGCTTTTTTTTATATAAATCATTAAAACAACCAGAAGGTATTTATCAAGTATCAATACTTGGTTAGGAGCATAGGAGGAATACCTGGTGTCAAAGGGATCAGTCTGTTGAGTTCAGACACACACAGGGGAAACCACTAGAGAACAAAGTAAGATGGTATATAAATAAATGTTGTATTGCGTGACTATGTGGATGTGTGCTGTGAACAGTGGAAAAGGGAGAAGCCAGAGAGTGTCATAGTTAAAGGAGGTGGGCTTTGAGCTGGACATTAGAGCTAATAAGGGGGTAGATAAGTGGAGACGGGTCTTCTGGGTGTGGGAAGTAGAGTGACAGAGACTAAACCTAGGACATGTGAGAAGGCAGTGAGGGGGTGGTACTGATTTAGAGCCGAGCAACCAGGAAAAAGGTGGGCTGTGTATGTTAACATCATTGTATTCTAATGATTTTCAGGTGAAACATCAACCAGATTTCATAAAAGAAAGATTGAAGCTTTTTGAAATATTGAAGAAGGATCATCAGCCCTTACTTGCCATTTATGAAGAAAAAAGGAATACAAGCAAGGCAATCACAGTAAGAGTGGCGGATGGGAGAACAGTGCAAGGGGAACTTTGGAAAACAACACCTTATCAAGTGGCAGCTGAAATTAGGTAAACCATATTTTGAAGAAGATACTCAGTTTTAAGTAACTGTACCAAAGTCTGGTGAAAATGTTTTCTTAGGACCACTAAGATATTTTACTGTTATTAAGTTGAATACATTAAATGTAATTTTTTTCCTCTGGCTTCTAAAAAGGCTATTTAAATCAATAATTGGATATCAGAACACAATCTCATCCTCTCTGGAAGGTCCAAATGTTAAAGTTGCAAAGAGAATGTATAGTAGAGAAAAAAGTCTGTAATACAGGTCACATTATACTGATTTTATTTATCAATCAAGTAATTTGCATGAGTTTTTCATAGGTCTTTTAATTACAGATTGAAGATGTATGTGTTGGAGCTATTATCAGTCCTAGAATAGGACTTTGACATCTACAGAAATTAGATACATTAGTACAGTTACATTGTTATAACTAATGTTAATTCCTAGCATTAAATACAATTATATGAAAGCTATAGCTCAAAACTGCCATGTGGATAAACTTTTATTTAAAAAGCAAGCTGTTTCAACAGTGGAAATCCTCAGACTTCCTTTGAAAAGTCTGATTGTAGTTTTGTTTCATCCTATCACATCATGACCTCTAAAGGCCCTCCCAACCTGTTTCCTTGTTTTCCAGAAGAGATGATAAGCTAGGGAAAAATGGGTTTTGAGGCAAAAATATGTTTTCTCGTGGAGAGTCAGGTTGCATTCAAAATATGATAGGTCGTAGTTCTCCAAGTGTAGTCCCCAGACCAGCAGCATCAGCATCATCTGGAAACTTGTTAGACAAGCAAATTCTTGGGCCCCACATCAGACTTTCTGAATCAATCGTGTATATATTTTTATGAGCCCTCCAGGGGCTTCTGATGCAATCCAAAGTTTAAGAACCACTGAATTAGGCTAAACTGCTGCGACGGAGACCTCTAAAGACAGTGTCTTAAATAAGTTAGATATCAAATTCTCTCCCATAACAGTCTAGAAGTGACCAGTCCAGGCTGGTGGATATCTTTTGTCTGTGCAGTAGTGTATAGACCCAGCTTCCTTCTTTCTTGTTGATCTGCCACCTCCTTGGGAGAGTATATTCATGTCTGAGAATAGAAACTGAGTCCCTTTCTGCAGGCATGAGGAAGAGAGGCTAAAGAACAACGATGCTGTGAGGCCAAGACCCTGCAGTGCTCACTTCAGTTTACACTTCCGTGCATGTGGTCACATGGCCACACCTCACGGTAAGAGAGGATGGAGATGAAGCTCCTGATGGGCAGCCATGTGTGCAGCTAAAGCATTCTTACCATGGAAGAGAAGGAGAATGGTTTAGGCAATGGGCAGTCTGCAGCAGTCCACCCCATCGACATCTGGATGTCTGTGGGCACTCTTCTTTCAACATCCAGTGCACTCATCGCCTCCCCCAGTGAGACAACTCCAGGTCCCATAGCTCAAAACCCAGGGTTTCTCAGTGATGTGCAGAACACCCCCATCAGGCTGGCTACTTACATTAATAAGCTAATAGGCAAGTCTGCATACTCTATGCACATATACAGTAAACACAAGGCAATCACAAAGTGTCTATTTGGAAGAAAGGAACAGAGCAGACAGTGGTATACAGATGTTATTGGATTCTGCTTGCAATGATTGTGAGGCCCATAGCCTGGCAATGGTTGGTACTTGGGTCAGCCCATCTGGCCACCCTTTGTTCTCCAGGAGCAGCTCTCGGCCACAGTCCCCCATGGGTCCTGATTTTGCTCTTTGGGAAGTTCATAGTTGTCCATTACCCTTGTTTGCCATATCTGAAGTGTGGGAGAGTTCGTCCTCTTGGGGGCTGTATGGTTTGCACAGCCCAGTTCTTGCTGGTGCACACTTGGGGGCTGGGGGGTCCTTTAAGGATCAAACAATCACAGGTATTTGCAAGCTGGGCTTGTGATTTGTTTGGCAATACAGTTCCCTCACAGAGTTAACCGTAGTAGACTTCTGGTCTGTTTGTTGCTAATCAGTTCCACATGAAAGATCTCACTTAAAGAATCCTTCTGGATAGAGACTTCTCACCCTTTTGTTTCACGGTTTTTGTACTTGCTCATTCCTCTCTCCTTCAATTTAGCGGACTGAGATCATACGAAACAACAAGTTGTGGGAGGTGAGCCCCCTTACTGTCTAATCCTGGCAGTTCGATGGGCCCCTACTGTCTGTCTTTATGTGTGGCCTTTGAGAAGGGCTGTCAGCGCCCGTCCCTCTTGCTGTTTGGGACAGAGGTTGTCTTTCCAGTCTTGCATAGCCCCATGTTTCTGGACTTGGTCAATTTGAATTACAGGCCACAGGCAGAGAAAACCTCTCTTGGCAAAGCCCTGTCCCTTCCATCCCTGCTTGCAAACCGGATAATTCTCACCTGAGCTTGTGTCATTCTGGTGGTATCTTGCTAAAAGCAACAAGAATTATCCAGAGTATGCCAGTGTGCTTCCTTATTATATCTGCTTCCTCATGTGCCACAAGCACTGTAACACATGGTTTGTCTGCAAGTTTTATCACATATTTTGTTATGCTATAACAAGGGTTATTGTCTTTCCACATCTTAGTATCTATTTCCTTATAACCCACTGCTTGTCTGCTAAGCGAATACCATGTTTTGTTTTTGTTATATCCAGGTTCTTATTTCTGTATTAGTTAAGAGAGAGCCTAAGCTGCTGCAACAAAGATACCACAGAAAACCCAGTGGCTTAAATATGGTCAAAGTCTCTTTCTCATATAGCAGTTTGGAGGTCCAGATTAGCAGGGTGGCACTTCTTCATACAATCGTTTGGGGACCTTGGTTCCCTTCCTATGCTTGCTGGACCATCTGATATAGTGTCGCTCTTGTCTACATGGTCCAGAGGCAACAGCATGTTTGTGTTCTAGTCCACAGAGGGTGGAGAGAGGGTGGAGAAGTTCCCTCCACTGTCTTAAGGCTTAGATTCAGAAGTGCTGCACATCACTTCTGCTTGTATCTGTTGGCTCCAGACTTGGTCACATGGCCACATCTAGCTGCAAGGAAGGCTGGAAAACTTACTGTAGAAGAGGAAAATGGATTTGTGGAACACTAGCAGTCTGTCACAGACAGTAAAAATGAAAATAAAATCCTACTTCACTAATAATTATACCTAACATTTATTGAGTTCTTATCATATGTATACATTATTTAATCCTTAGTATAAATTTATAAGGAGGGTCCTATAATCCCCATTTTATAGATGAGAACACTGAGGCTTAGAGAAATTAATTGTCCAATGTTTTTGGCTGGCTGGTGCACGGATCTGAACCCTTGACCTTAGTGTTATCAGCACCACACTCTCCCAAGTGAGCCACCTGCCAGCCCAAAGTGTCCAATGTTTAAACCCAGGTTGGTCTCACACCAGAGTGTATACTCCTAAAATGCTGTACTGCTGCTCAAGTAAATCACAGAAATGCAAATTAAAACATGACATTGTAGAGATAATATAACAATAGTAGCTAACGTTATGAGAGCACAGAGAGGTACTCTTGCACCCTTGCTGGTAGGAAAATTTGGTGATATGTTCCAACAGAAATCATTAAAAATGCATTTCCTTTGACCCAGCAGTTATACTTCTAGAACTTTTCCTGAGAGAATAATTGGGTCCTAAGATATATGTTCAAGAATGTTTATTGCAGCATTATTTGTCATTGCCAAAACAAAACCAAACCCACAAAGAAATAACCAAAATGCCTAGGAAATCTTGGTTCATCTTCAGCTGTTAAGTAGCATGTTTTAGAAGTCTGTCCGCTGTCAGGGGAAGTGCTGTGATTTACTGTTAAGTTTAAGAAGTAGGTTATAAAATAATGTGCAGAATGATATTATTAAAGTTTTCATAGTAGTATATATAATAAAAAATGTGGAAGGACATACAACAAAATGTTAACTAATTTTTGGGTGCTAGGATTGTGGGTAATTTTTTTTTCTTTGTGCTTTTCTGTGCTGTCTAGGTTTCTTCTTGCTATACTTGTCAGTAATTCTCAAACAACAATAAGTGTTATTTAAAAGCCACACAAAGAAAAAGGTCAATACCTCAGTAGAAAATAGGTGAAGGAAATGGACAGTTCGTAAAAGTAAAAATAGCTAGTAAACATTTAATAAAATTAATAATCAAAGAAATCAATTTAGGGCCGACCCCATGGCACACTCGGGAGAGTGCGGTGCTGGGAGTGCAGCGACGCTCCTGCCGCGGGTTCGGATCCTATATAGGAATGGCCGGTGCGCTCACTGGCTGAGCGCAGTGCGGGTGACAACAAGCCAAGGGTTGCCATCCCCTTACCGGTCACGAAAAAGACAAAAAAAAAAAAAGAAATCAATTTAAAACAATTTTCAACATCACATTGACAAAGATTTTAGAAATCTTTCAGGATGTGTGGAAGTGATACACTCAGATGATATTTATCACATATCTTTCAAAGGCACTGCCCTTTGACCTAGCGATTCCACTTCTGTGGACTTATTCCCAGAAAACAGTCACAGAAGACACAAAGATGCATGTGCGTGGATGTCTGTGCTGTGTACTCTAGGAGAGCAAAACTTAAAGGCGACCTGCGTGCGCAGAACTGTGTACTCTAGGAGAGCAAAACTTAAAGGCTTTGCTAATAAACACAATACTTCTAGACCGTTTTGGAAGACTGTCTGATGGCACAGCAGTGAAAAAGCAGGCTATACAATTATGTTGGCAATTGTGTTTGGAAAAAAATTACATGTGTTGGGGGGGAGGCATGGGTGTAGAAAAACGACTGGACAGACGTGTACCAAGGTGCTATGAGTAGTTATTTTGGGGTGATGAGATTTATATGTGATTTTTATTTTATTCTGTGTTTTCTCTATTTTCCAAGTTTTGTTTACAGTGTACATATATTTTGTACATAAAATAAATGTCACAAAATAAAAAATATCTGTCCTATTAGCTTATATTTGTGCTTTCTATCCACTTATGAAAAACCCTGGAAATTATTTTAATCTTTTCTTTTAACCAATCTTTGTAGCATGTAATAAGATTAACTCCCAAGAGGCTTTTCCCTTATTAGTCAAGAACTGGCTGAAAACACAGTAATAGCCAAAGTAAATGGTGAATTATGGGACCTGGACCGCCCTTTGGAAGGGGATTCCGCCCTAGAGCTGCTTCTGTTTGATAATGAGGAAGCTCAAGCTGTAAGTATTTAAAAACCAACCAACCAAACTTTGGGTATTTACGTTGTAAACTACATTACTTATGAAGCCACATATTGAAGTCAAGAATGATGAGTTTTTTGCCTTTTAAGATTTAAAATTTGAATATTGGTGTTTAATAAATATTTAATAAATATTTACAGAATGAATATATATAAGTATATATCAATTTTTAAAGTAGCCCGTATTTATCCATTCTTAAAATAATTGTCTTTTTAAGTTAGAATGCTTTAGTTATTAAATCAATGTGTATTTGAAATGAATTTTTAATAGACTCTTAAAAATGGATGTCTTAATAATTTAATATGTGTAGAAGACTTGGAAAAAATGATTAAAAAACTAAAATTTCCTTTAATTACTTCCATGTAATTTTCAGTGCCACATTTTCGTGTAGATCTCTGATGTACCTTGTCACCTTAACTTTGCCATCTCCCTTCAAGTAGTTCATTATCTCCGTAAAACCTAACCTGTGATTAGCTTAGGTTACATTGTGAAGCTAATGCCATATTTCTCAATTTTTAATCCAAACGATATTAATAAGACCACGTTTAAAAGTGATTCAGAAAGTACAGTCCTATAAACTTTCAACTCTCAACTCTCTAGCTAGACATGCCTGTTCCCCTTAGATATTGTACAAGAATCTTCAGTTCAGTACATTTACCATGAAATTCTTGATTTCAACCCCAAAACTTATTTCTTCCCTGTTTGCCCATCTCAATGTACTTCTCTACCACATACCCAGTTGATCAACCCAGGACCTTGGAGGTTATGTGTGATTACTCCCCTTCCCTCAACTCCAATCTCCGACTTATGGGGTAAGCCCAGTAGATTGTACTTGGCAAACGTACCTCTCTCCATCTCCATTGCCACTGCCCAGGAGTCTGCCCTGTTCTGTTATAGCAGTACCCAAGAAACTGCCTACTTGCTGTTTTGTTCCCTGAAATCCTTTCGCCTGAAATTCATTCACATACACTATTAAATGATGTATTAAAATGTAAATGGAATCATTTCTGCTTAAAATCCTTTATGTGTCCCATTGCATTTGGAATAAAACTCAACCTCTTCCCCAAGGCCTGCATGGTTGCATTACCTCTCTAATCTTTTCCAGCTACTCTTTGTTCCATCCCATACACGTTATCCACACAGGCCTTCCTGAGTCCCCATGAATGTAGAGTCTTCCCTGTTATTCTTTATTATACCTCCTTTTAAATACCCTTCTGCCCCAGCAGGCCATAACTACATGATGGCAGTGACTATATCTGTTTCTGTAACTGTTTCTTTAACTATCCCTGGTACCTAACACAATGTTTTGCTCAACAAATATCTAGGTGTGCACGATGCACCAAAAGAGATTTGGGCTGATGTTGGTGGTCAGCCTGCAATCCTGATAGCATCTGAAGGACAGGTGCTCTGTCCCAAGGACTGACCCTCTGGGTCCGTTTGCAGATCCCAGCCTATTGCTGTGGGTCAGAATTGCAAATAGATGCACAAACATCTAACTCCCTCTGCTCTGATTTATTTTATCAAACAGCTTTTTAATTGTAATTTGTTTCCTGTTTAATAAAGGGGAAGAAAGTGCAGCCAGAGAGGACTTGACTATCTTGCTCCTTTGGCACCTATATTTGTTTGGTGACTTCAGTTAATTTTAGTTTATCTATAAACCACTGATTCTTAGGGAATTCAAAACCAAATCAACTTTCTGGACTTGTAGGGCTGATGACCCTGTGGTAAATTAGCCCATGCATACACTGCTCAGGGGTCTCAGGCAGCCAGCAGGCATTCCCTGGCAACACTTTTTTCTTCCCAAGCCAGCTTTCAAACTTCCACATCACATGCTACTCAGCATGTGAAGACTGCTGTGGAGATGCAAAATCTTAACACTAGTGATGTCATCAACAGCCACTTTAGCTCTCTGCATCCAACTCAGAGAGGCTGCCCTTGGAGAAAAAGGAGCTAGCATCTGGCACTCCTCAGCTTTCCTCCCACTTTGGGCCTAGATTGGGTTTCCATGGGGCTACTCTGCTCTGTTCCAAGTGGATGGGCTCATTGCCCACAGTTAATGTGCACAGAAGGAAGTGATGTAGTAGGTGTGCTTCAGTCCCATCTCTCAGCAGACAGCTTTACACTAGAACTGAGCAAATGGCTATGGTAGAATGCCGGGCGGGTAGGGGAGGGCCCAGAAAATATTCTTTTGTAAGAGAGCATTGAGGATTTTCTTTTCAAACTGATGTTGCCCTTGTGTCTTGGCATTTATTCTCTTAAAATTTATCCACTTGCTCACTCACATTATTTTACCACTGATTTTCCATGACATAGTTTTGATAGCTAATGTCCTCTCTGTCCCGTGCAGGTGTACTGGCACTCCAGTGCTCACATTCTTGGGGAGGCCATGGAACTTTACTATGGAGGCCACTTGTGCTATGGTCCACCCATTGAAAATGGATTTTATTATGACATGTTCATTGAAGACAGGTAACACCACTGAATACTGACTTCTGAATGCGTGTGTCGATATTTCATTGTTTTATAATGGTTACATATTAGCTTAGTCTCTATATTGCATAATGTGATTATAGAATGGTTAACCATTTTTGAAAATTACTTTTTAATGAGTTTAGATTCAAGGGTAACTTCTCTAATTGTTTTCTTTCTTTTCTCCAGAAGGACATTATATACTATTTGTCTAATCTGGGACTTGCTAGAGCATGGTATTATTTAAGCCCAGAAACACAACCTTAATTTCCAGAGAGCAGTTGGTTCAGTTCTACTCCATGCTAGGCAGGGGTGTTATCAGTCTCAGTCAAACATCTCACAGCTGATGGCCGGCCCGGTGGTGCACTGCTACAGTGCGCCGCTTGGGAGTGCGGTGGCCCTCCCGCCGAGGGTTCGGATCCCACATACAGACCGGTTCCCGCTCACTGGCTGAGTGAGGTGCGGGCGCAGCACCGAGGGTTGCGATCCCGTTGCTGGTCCCGGTCCGGTACAGGCGCAACACTGAGGGTTGCGATCCCGTTGCCGGTCCCTGGTCTGGTACAGGCGCAACACTGAGGGTTGCGATCCGTTGCCGGACACGGAAAAAGACAAAAAAAAAAAAAAAAAAAAAATCTCACAGTTGAGTGCCGGGTGGGGATAGTTCACAGAGGCCTCACATTCCATAGGTCTGTGCTTGGAATCATTAGCAACCAGCCCAGCCCCAGTCTACCTCCTGCTCTGTAGTCCTCATATCTCTTAATGATACCACCAGTGGCCAAAACTGAAATCTCAGGTCCTTCCAATCCTCCCTGCTCCTTATCACCACCCCACCATCCAGCCATTCAGTCCAGTTCTGCCAATTTTATCTCCTAAATACTTCCCCCATCTTCCTCTTCTGCCTTAATTTAGACCCATAATGAATCTGGTCTGGACAATTTGTATGGCAAATGTACGGCACATTTGCATTTACCTGTCTCCGCCTCACTGCTTAAGTGCCTCTCCCTAACCGAGCATCCAGTACTCTATGGCTACTACTTACAGCTTTGTCCAGTCTGAATCGTTTTTACTCACAACCATGAACTGTGTTTACCTACAAAACTTCTAACCCCAAATATATAGGTTTTTTCCCATACCAACAACCGATTCTCTAACATTCTGGATACCAGCTGGGTGACCAGCAATTTAATTCAATTCAATTCAATTCTGACTCTAACTCAGGTGCTGGAGTTAGCATAAACAACACAGGTTAAGGGCTAAGTCCCACAAAACTGCTCCCAATTCAGATGTCAGCTGTGAGGCTGGGCCTCCCATACTTCTGACCAGCTGGCTATAAATTGGGAGTTCCCACGACTCCTTCCTCAGGTTCACTAATTTGCTAGAATAGCTCTCAGAACTCAGGAAGGGACTTTACTTACATTTACTGATTTATTTTAAAGGCTATTACAAAGGACACAGATGAACAGCAAGATGGAAGAGGTGCGTAGGGCGAGGCGTGTGGGCGGGTGCAGAGCTTCTGTGGCTCTTCAGCTGCACCGCCCTCCTAGCACCTTGCTGTGTCCACAGACCTGCGAGTTCTCTGAACCCTATTGTTCAGAGGTTTCTGTGCAGGTTTTGTTAAACAGGCACAATTAATTACATCATTGGCCATTGATGATTAGCTCAGCCTTCAGCCCCTCTGTGCTCTTCGGAAGTAAAGATAGGGCTAAAAATTCCAGCCTTCTATACCTTGGTCTTTCTGGCAACCAGACCTCATCTGAAACTGTCTGGGGACCCTCAGCCACCTGTTATCTCATCACACAAGAGACACTCTTCTTACTTAGGAGATTCCAAGGGTTTTAGGAGCTATGTGCTAGGAACCAGATATCTAAATATATATTTCTTACTGTATCACAGTATCATATCCAGCTTCATCTCCCATTACCACCACTCCAGGATTCATTCAACAAGATTTTTTGACTGCCTACTGTGTGCGCCGTGCTTGGGGCTGGTGACTGGGCAGGGAACAAATCAGTCTGTCTGCATGGAGTAACAGTGTGGTTGGGGGAAGACAGATAGTAAGCAGACAAACAGCCGTCTACTGTCAGGGGGTGACAGCATGTGAAGAAGGCGTGGGTAGGCATGTACCTTCACGGGTCAGTAATCAGGAAAGGGGAGAGTGATGCTGAAGCAGAGACCAGAGTGGAGGGAGGGAGCAAGCCCTGAGGAGACTGGGGGGGACATTCCAGGCCTCTGTAGGTCTACACTGGTGCGGGTATGCGTGGCTTGTTGGAGGAATGGCAGAGAAGCCAGTGTGGCAGGAGGGGAGGGAGCGACTGCAGGAAGTCAGGCCTCAAGCGCTGGAGGCTGACTGCCTGTGTGAGTGCCTGCAGCTCTGCAGCTCACTTGCAGCTCTTTCCAAGCCGAGGTTCCCAGCCAGCGAGTGCTCAGTACAACTCCTTTGAATAAAAATATAAGTGTGCGAAGCATAAGGAAGACCACACAAAAGAATAGGCCTCAGAGGAGCTCCTACTCGGGTTCTGCACGCCTTACAGCAGGGTGGAGTGGAAGGCAGATTCCAGTATCTGCTGATGGCTCAGTCTACCTGCCTCTTTGAGAAAAAGGGATGTCTGCCCCGTGTATGAATGTTTGACTTTCTGAAGTACTGGTGCAATAAAACACCAAATTCAGTTTAGAAAGTGTGTCAGTGACAGAGGCTACAGGACACAGGGAAAAGGAAAATCCATAATGTCTGAAAAATCTCTATCGATTTTTTCTTTTTTTTGTGACTGGTAAGGGGATCGCAACCCTTGGCTTGTGGTTGCCCGCACCGCGCTCAGCCAGTGAGTGCACCGGCCATCCCTATATAGGATCCGAACCCACGGTGGGAGCGCCCCTGCACTCCCAGCACCACACTCTCCCAAGTGAGCCACGGAGTCGGCCCTCTATTGATTTTTTTTTGAGATTTTTATTATTTTATTATTAAAGTAATACATGCACATTACAAATAATTCAGAAAATTATAAAGAATAAGTAAAGTCATGTGCAGTCCTACCTCTATGTACATAATTACTTTTAACATTTTGGTGTGTTTCTTCCCCTATTCACAAGCTCTGTATAGCAGGTTTTCTTTCTGAAACCCATGGCTAAATTAAACTGAAGATTAATCAATGGTGTTAGAAGTCAAAGTAGTGATTTTTTTTTCCTTTTTGTCTTTTTTCGTGACCGGTAACGGGATCGCAACCCTCAGTGTCATGCCCGTACCGCGACCGGCAACGGGATTGCAACCCTTGGTGTCGCACCCGCACCGCGCTCAACCAGTGAGCGGACCGGTCTGTATATGGGATCCGAACCCTCGGCGGGAGCGCCGCCACACTCCCAAGCGCCACACTCTACCGAGTGCGCCACCGGGCCGGCCCCAAAGTAGTGATTTTTTTTAAATTTATTTTTTATTAGCATATTCATTGTTACAAATCATACATATTCTTTATGTCCCTTATCCAGTCTCTCCCCTCCTTCCTCTAATAACCAGAGATTTGTTCTCTCCATCTGATAGATTAATTGTTTGTCTATTGGTTTGTTGCCTAGATGATCTGTCCAATACTGAGACAGGTGTGATCAACTCCTCCCCTATTATCATAAAGCAGATGCTTCTTCTATTACTCTGGAGAGTGCTTTGTGGAGAGAGAGGACCAGACCTCTTTTTTTTTGGTCTCTGATGGTGCCTCTCCTTGTGTCAGTGCAGTTGAGAGTCTGGTGTGCCATCTGTGTGGTGGCTGTGATTGTTGCTATAGAGACTAGCCACTTTTCTGGCAGCTGTGGTAATTGTGGTGGCTGTGGTGGGCTACCCACATGGAAATGGTGATTTTGGTGTGCTCTTTACCTGCTTGCGGCTGGGTTCGGGTTCCCCCAACTCCATTCCTTAGGACCTTGGTGGTGCCCGGGGCAGTAGCAGCAGCTTGCCTTGTTGTGGCTGGGTTCGGCTTCTCCCTGCTCCATGCCTCTGGACCCCTGTGGGGCCCTGGGGCAGTGGTGGCAGCTTGCCTAGTTGTGTTTGGGTTTGGCTTCTGGCTCTGTTCCTCGGGACTCTGGTGGGGCCCTGGGACAGTGGCAGCAGTTTTGTCTAGTTGTAGCTAGGTTTGGCTTCTCCCGACTCCATTCCCTAGGATTCCGGTCGGGCTTCTGGGTGGTGGTGGCAGCTTGCCTAGTTGCAGCTGGGTTCAGCTTCCCCTGGCTCCATGACACATTCTAAGATGTTGTTGTGGAGTTGTTGGTGGGGAGGGGGAGATGGGAAAGGGGAGGGAAATAGGATGGGAGGAGGTGGAAGGAGGGGGGCATGGTTGAGGCCTATGGCACCTCCCTCATTCCAGAAGGGGAGACCAGGGGACTTCCAGCGGTGGCTCAGTCATTGCTGGGCTGGATGCAGATGTCAGGGAGGTGTGGCTGAAGCCCTCAGCCTCCAACCACTTGGCTCGGGAGCCCAGGGTGTTTCCAATGGCAGCTTGATGGTCGTCGCTGAGCTGGTTGCAGATGTCTTTGGGTATTTTGTTTTTTCTTTCAGTTCTGTGTTGGATTATTTGCTGTTCCCACCACTTAAACTCTGCACTGGAACTAATTTGTTGTTCTTTGCTTAATTCTAAAATGGGGGAACTTCCTGTGGGGACCAGCACTTGAGCCCTGTGGTTGAGCTAAATTGCTTCATTGCTGCTGATTCCCTGAGGAAGGCTTTTTGTGCAGCTCAGGTTTTAATTGTTGACCTTGTAAACATTTCTGGGTCTTGTGAGGTCTGGTATACCTGGGTTGTTTGGAAACTTTGGTCTGGGCCTGAGTCTTTTCAGCAAACTGTTCCCGCTGCAGTTCTGGTATTCCTGACCAGTCTCTACTGAGTGGGCCTGTGCTGATTGGAGGGCAGATCAGCTGTCCATGCTGTGCCCCAATGTTCCCCCAGTGGGCATGTCTCCCCCACCACCCGCACTCCAAACACTTCTCACGGGATGGGCCATGTGCCATTCCCTTGTGATGAGTCACCAGTTTCTGTGTGGCTTCTCTTTTCAGTTGTCTGTTGCCCCTCGTTCATATGTGGGTCTATGGGAACCCTGTTAGTGGCCACCGAGGCCCTCTTCCCCCCTGCAGTCTCCAAGAAACTTCACACAAAGGGCACACCTGCAGCTTTTGCCACCTCTTGCTCTGTGAAGCTTTGAAGTGGCTGGGGCTCAAAATGGTGGGAGCAATCCTTTCTTTCTCTCATCGTGGCTTCTCCTGCCTTCATGAATTCTGTAGGTCTCTCCTCCTCTTCCCCTGGGCTCTAGTGGCCCCAGCTTGGCTGTCCTTGCTTTTTAATAGTTGTAAATTTGTTGATTTGTGGGAGAGAGTGATGCTGGGGACTGTCTATTCTGCCATCTTGACCAGAAGCCAAATCTGTATTGATTCTTATGTCCTCTTTTTAGAGCAGTGTCCAGCACAGAATTGTCAGCACTGGAGAACATATGTAAAACCATCATTAAAGAAAAGCAACCTTTTGAAAGATTAGAAGTCAGCAAGGAAATCCTCCTTGAAATGTTTAAGGTAACGTGGGGAAACTCTTAGAATAGCAGCCTTTTACTGGGAATATTAAAAATAATTAACATAGACTAGCTGCCCCCCTGAACCCCCAAATAATTAGCTGTTGCTCACCAAATTGTTCCAAAGTCTGGTAACCTCTTGTGAGGTTGCTGACCGTCACTTGCTATCTCAGTTCCCTCTTCGTCCATTTCCTGAAAATTTTAAGGCAGACATAGATAGGTAAAGGATCAGGAGAATAATTTTCATACGTGTGTTTGCGTATTGTAATATCTGACTACGAAATTCAGTAATATTTATAATCCCATGTAAAGTTCTGGCTTTTTTCTTTGGAGTTTTCTGTTAACTTTTTATTTTTAGATTTTAAGCTAGCGTAACTTGTTTAAAACTTTAACTTTCTCTTTATATCGTTTTGACCAGTGTACTCAAGTGTATCCCTAATTTTGTATTTTAAATCACACACATTAGAGAAAGCCCATGTTTTGAAAGCATGGTATTATTAGTTTTGTGGGCTTGAATTAAAAAATAGGTTTGGTTTTGGTACAAGTTGCAGTTACTCTTTTTTGTTTAGTAAAATATATAAAATATGAAATTCACCATTTTTGAGTGTACAGTTCTGTGGCCTTAAGTACATTCACAGTGTTGTGCAGCCATCACCACTGTTCATTTCCAGAGCTTTTCATCTTTCCAGACAGAAATCCTGTGCCCATTAAACATTAACTCCCCGATCCCTCCTCTCGCAGCCCCTGGCAACCATCATCCTACTTGCCGTCTATGATTTGACTACCCTTAGGACCTCATATCAGTGGAATCAGATAATATTTGTCTTTTTGTGTCTGCCTTATTTCACTCAGTATAATGTCCTCAGGGTTCATTGATGTTGTATCATGTGTCAGAATTTCCTTCCTTTTTAAGGCTGAATAATATTCACATATTATATACACAATAATATATTCACAATAATATACCACATTTTGTTTATCCGTTCGTCCATCGATGGACACTTGGATTGCTTCCACCTTTTGGCTATTGTGAATAATGCTGCTGTGAACATGGGTGTACACATTTCTGTCTGGGTTCCTGCTTTCACTTCTTTTGAGTATATACCCAGAAGTGGAACTGCTGGATCATATAGCAATTCTGTTTTTCATTTTTTGAGGACTGACCATATCGTTTGGCACAGAGGCTGTACCATTTTACATTCCCACCAGCAGTGCACAAAGGTTCCAGTTTCTCCACGTCCTTGCCAACACTTGTTATTTTCTGTTCTCTCTTTTTTTTTAATAGTAGCCATCCTAATGGAGGTGAAGTGATATCTCATTGTGATTTTGATGCATTTCTCTGATGATTTAGGGTTTTGACCATCTTTTAATGTGCTTATTGGCCATTTTATATCTTCTTTGGAGAAATGTCTGTCAAGTCCTTTGTTCGTTTTTGAATCAGGTTGTTTGTTTTTTTGTTTTTGAGTTACAGGAGTTCTTTATATATTCTGGATGCCAGTCCCTTAACAGATACGTGATTTGCAGTATTTTCTTCCATTCCATGGGTTGCCTTTTTTGCAGCTACTCTTAAGAACTAAATGCAACCAGCCTTTGTGAAGGAGAATGATTTGATTTGAACATGTAGGTATGAAACAGTTAAATTATACAAATGTGGGTTTTTTCCCTCCCAACAACTACCTCGTTTATTTTTTATTTTTATTTTTTTTAAAAAGATGACTGGTAAGGGGATTTCAACCCTTGACTTGGTGTTGTCAGCACCACGCTCTCCCAAGTGAGCTAACTGGCCATCCCTATATAGGGATCTGTACCCGTGGCCTTAGTGTTATCAGCACCACACTCTCCCAAGTGAGCCATGGGCTGGCCCTAACAACTACCTTCTTTAATTAGTTATTTAATGTACAGTACCTTGTACCATCATGATAGTGATGAAAGCAGAAAAGAAAGGAAAAGGAAAAAAATTATGTTAGGTTTTTAATGTAATGATGTCATCACTTACTGTAAACTTTGTTTTTGTTTTTACACAAATTAATTACGTAGCTGTGTCCTTCTCAGAATTTTATTGCTTTGTTCATTTCATCTGGTTAAAATGGGATCTTCTAGAGCAGTGCTGTCCAATAGAAATATGATGTGATCTCAAATCAGAGCCACACCTGTAATCTTAAATTTTCTGGCAGCTACATTTTAAAAGTAAAAGAAAGGTGAAATTAATTTTAAGAAAATTTTATTAAATATATCAAAAATATCATTTCAACATGTAGCCAATATAAAAAATATTTAATGAGCTATTTTATACTCTTTTTTTCCCAAACTGTACCTCTAAACTCCAGTGTGTTTACACTTGCAGCACAACCCATTTCATTTTACAGGGCATTTTAAGTGCCCAGTGGCCACAGTGAGTGTGGCTCCCATACTGCACACTGCAGTTCAAGGCTGTGAGTTTTGTATCCTCAGTGTCTCAGCACCTAGAACACAGTAGACACCCTTTCAGTGTTTCTTGAAAGAGTAGAGGGTTTTTTTTTTTTAATTTAAACATTTAGTTTAATAATGTGTAAATATATTTTTCTTTGTAGTACAATAAATTTAAATGCCGCATCCTGAATGAGAAGGTTAACACTCCAACTACCACAGTTTACAGGTCTGTGTGCATGAATTTTAAATGCTGCTGAATGGTAAACTTGAAAGCATTAGCAGTATAAGCAGAGTTTATTTTCTGGTGGGTGGTCTGTTTTTAATGTTGATATACTACTTTAATTAGGGGCTCCAAAATGTTATCACCAAAGGGAAATTATTATTTTCTCCTTTTTAGTTATCAGAATGGTACTGAGACCCAAAGTTTATTTTCTGGGTGTCAGCTGTAACAGGATCTTTGTCCACGTGGGTGAAATAGTGTTCACCAGTGCCCTGTGTTCTTAGAAGCTCTTAGGGAAAGGAATTTCTATTTCGTCCCTCCACATTCTTATTAACGTGGCAGCGGGAGCTGTTATGGACCACCTCCTCACACAGTGATTCTCTACCTCACGCTGTGTTCCCCACCGTCCAGAGTTCAAATGTAGCAACCTCCATGTGTTAGCAGAATATTCATGATGAGACAAAAAAAAATATCGGGAAGCAAAGGCAAAATCAAATGGTAAGAAGAGGCAATTGAAAATACCAGAATCCCTTAGTTCTCTCAGATTAACATTAGGCTCCTGAGCTGCTTTCTATTTATCCTTTCTGTAAGGCTGCCTTGCAGGCAATTGCTGTTCTCCCCTTTCTGTAGGTCAGGTTCTCTGGTGCTGGTGCTGCCGGCACCTTCATGGTCTCATTTTAGAAGACCTGGTATCTGTATAATTATGATCACAGATATCCACCACTAGGGCACTTATATTCCACAGTCAAGTATTTATGGTTCTCTGGTTTAATTGTTCTATAAGTAAAGTCCTATCCCCTTTATGCAAAACCATGCACAGTGCATTTCTCAAATAATAACATGAATTCATTGCCATTTGTCATTGGTGTGGAATACTATGTGTTTTATTTTTGCTACTCTCCAAAGACCTGATAGGGTTTTATTATTTGTTACCTAGAATTCAAAGAAATGTTAGTATAACCAGTTTAAAGTTTTAAAGTAAATGACGATATATAAAAAATATGCCGAATTTTAAATTTCTAGCTTCTAATACTTGACCTTTTGGGTTTTTTAGAACCTTTCTCTTGTAGTTTATCAATCTGAATGGCTTATATTTAATTTGGGGGGAAGAAAGTTTTCCTTCTGTGGGATTATTTAAAGATTAGAAAATTTTTTTGGTGCTAATTAGGCATTAATTAGCTTCTTTTCCTCTGATTGTTACTTAAAATCTCCATCTTGGACAGAGTACAGTACACAAATCCTGGTCATTCAAAGGCCAGTCTCTTTTTGCATTCATTGTAATTTTTAACTTTTAACCAGTGAACTTTAGAAATACTTAAAATTGTTTGTAATAGTTAAGGCACTACTTTCTTTACTAGATTTTCCTTAAATTGGTTGATGTTAAGTAACCTTCCCTCTGACCTATGTCATTCATGTGTTAACTCTGTTAATATTTCTGCCCTTGAAAAGTCTGTGCTTATTAAGGTTTGGGGGCCCTTATTCATTATATGTACAAGTGAATCCCTGGCTACATCCCCAAGTGTCTTAATGTAGTGTCATTTCTGATCTAAACTTTTGCCTGAGATTTGCATTGTAGGTTGGTGCTCTGTCTTAATAAACTGAGAAACAATTAGGCATTTTGTTATAAAACCATAGGGCTTAAAAGAAAAAAACTAACAAAAACCCTGATGTTTATTTTTTAAGTAAAGTGTCAAGTCAATGTGTTCTGAAAATATTTCAAACAATTTTGGTCCTGAAAATTAGTGTAGAGCAGGGAAATGACTTTCTGATTTTATGACAATGGAAGGTTTTTGACAGCCTTGGGATGGGACAATCAAAAATGGTGTCTCTAGCTGCACAATTTCTTTCAGATGTTCTGTGGCTTTTGAATTTAAGCAGAGGAGGACAGAATGGGATCTGAGGCTAGATGAATTGCCTCTCTTCTTGATCCTAAATTAAGAATTGCTCCATAACATATAAATAAGTGAAACCCATCACTTAAAACATATGAGAATATGATTTATAATGAATAGTCTAAAAATCTATAATTGTGTCTGAGAATGTCCTAAATATTTTATTACAGGTGTGGTCCACTAATTGACCTTTGTAAAGGCCCCCATGTAAGACACACTGGAAAAATAAAAGCCATAAAAATTTTCAAGGTAAGTATTGATTTTTTTAAAAAATATAGCAAACAGTAAGGTGAACTAGATAATAGGAGGTTTTAATCATGTCTTTCATAGTCTGAATATCATGATATCTTAAAATACTTCATTCTTATTTGACAAATATAATGTTTTAGAATTTTGATAATTAGAACACTATATATAGCTTTTGTTTATCATTTACCTTATTGTGTTATAATGTGCTTCTTTTTCATATTATACCTTAAAAGGTTGTTCTATATACTGTGGTTTTCTTGAATTGCCCTAATGTGAGCAATTACACTTCTCTGCATGTGAGAATAATGTGCTATAGGAAAAAGAAAACAAAAAGGGGATATGATGGTATAACGGAGAAAACATTGCTCTGGGGAATCAAGCAGGCATGGGACTGACTATAGTCCCATCCTTTCTGGGCCTTGGTTTTCTCACAGGTAAAGTGTGGGGCTGGGTGACAGCACTTAACGATTAACCGATTAACGTTCTTAACCACGGAGATGCAGAGCAGCGGGGGATCTTTCCTTTCCTGTACCTCCTGCTCCTCTGCTCCCTCCTCTGTCATCACGATTGCTGTTTAGCCTCCCCTTTCTGCTCCCTCTCACTTTCATTCCTAGCATCCACGGCAGACTCTTTACATAATTGACTGATTAATGGTATAATTTGGGCTGGGAAGGTTTAGTTAGAATCAGTTTAATATTCTTCCTGGCACTGGAAAAAGTCTACTTTAAGTAAGCTATAAAGATGTTATAGTGGAAAATCATGTGCATATTTAAGAGTGGTTTACTTGTAACCAAATATTTGATATATTCACCGAAATCTTGTTTGATTTTTAGAATTCCTCAACATATTGGGAGGGCAATCCTGAAATGGAAACATTGCAGAGGATCTATGGGATATCCTTTCCTGATAATAAGATGATGAAAACCTGGGAAAAGTTCCAAGAGGAAGCCAGGAACCGAGATCATAGGAAAATTGGGAAGGTATACCCCACTTGCTAATCACTGCTAAGACAGAAACATTCTTTCATTGGCTTAGATTATGTCTCATTCAACTGAATTGTTTTAAAAATAAGATTTTTTCTTCTCTTCTGTCTTCTATTTTGCTGGCATGCATAGCCTACTGTTGAGTTCTTTCATGCTAGTAACTCCAAATGTCTTCTAACCTCTTTCCTTCTTGTATTCTTTATTAGATTTTAAAAATTGCACCTTTCTTTTATTTTTTTCATATTATAAAAATAAAGTTGTTTTTTAAAATTGTATACACTTGCTAGATAGTTTATATTGGAAAGCAGAACAGTGTGTGGAAAGAGGGAATGAGATTTGGAAGCAGGTAGACCTGGATTTTTTAATCTTAGTCCTGCCACCTACTGGCTGTGTTATATGATGGGCAGAGTATTCACTGTGAATCTCCATGTCCCAATCTCTCTTTCTGAGTAGCTTTGTGGGGTTGTTGGGGGGACAGACACTGGCTGAAGATGCTCAGTGCGGAGCATGCTGTCAGTAAGTGACAGCCATGATAGTGATCCTCATCACTTAAAGCCCGCCTCCTGCAATGAACTTTTCTGATCTTTTTGCCATGTTGTCTCCCCATGAGATCCATACTCCAAGTGTGCTAAGAAAATTAGCAGTAAATAACAAAAGGTGACATAAAAGCTAAGTTCAAGGCAAGGTAACCATAAATATGAATGGTGATTTTATATGTGCTTTTTCATATAGTTAGGTGTAAGTATTGAGGGGCCTTGGAATGTCTGCTATTACAAGATGGAATGATAACTGAGTATATGATGATGTATCCCTACCATATCGTGCGTGGACAGTAAATACTAAACAATAGCAGACGAGATTTGAAATTCAATAATTGTCTCAATCTAGGAACAAGAACTTTTCTTCTTCCATGATCTGAGTCCTGGAAGCTGTTTTTTTCTTCCCAGAGGAGCCTTCATTTATAATACACTTATGGACTTCATACGAGTAAGTTAATTTTTAAAATATTTTATTCTTACTCAACTACACTTTCCATTTTACTATTTTCTCTCATAGTAAAATGGTCAAGCACTTCCATTAATTTTATTTTGGTAATATTAATAAGAATTTTAAACCTAAAAGTGAAATATTGGATTGTGTCTTCTAAAAAAAACATGGAGATAATTTCTGTTTTCCCTAAATGCGTTCTTGGATTTCATAAAATGTACTTATTGTCTGTATAAGTGTCTAGAGCATGTAGAATATAAAGATAAGCATTAGACCTAGCATGGAACTCCCTGAGAAAGAAAAGGAAGAAGAAAGGGTCTTCTGTGGCAGAGTGCTAGACTGTGAAGCTTTGCTTCTCAAAATGTGCTTCTTTATTACCTGACGTGTGTCTCCTGGGCCATTTGGCAGCTATAGAGGAAAGAGTGAAAAACAATTGCTTAAAATACCTATTTATAATACAGGGTCATAGGCCAGAAAGTCTTTAGTGTTTACATGATTAGGACTCTGTGGATATTGCTCAGAGGTGATCTATGTGGACTACTAGGATTGTATCTCCATTCTTGCCCTGATTTGTCTTTCTTGTAGCTAATAATTACCTGAAATTTTCGTTTACACAGTTTTCTACGTGCCTATCACTAATTCATCCTCAGATGTTCTCTCAAAAACTGCAAAACTCCTTGCAGCATATTCTGCAATGATTTGGGTAATTGCACTGTAAATTTTTTTTCAAATTTTGTCCTCTCACTCCAGAATTAACTTGCCGTAAAGATTCTTGCAAACTCATGGCTTAGAACTTCTTTTCATAATCATCCTGGCTACTCCCCTTATGTCTTTCCTATGCTGAATCCCCTATTTCCTGATCCCTGTCTTTTTCTTCCTTGCTTATCCTTACCTCTTGTTTCGGGGGGTTGGGGGGAGCACTCTCTTCAGTAACTTTCTGAGAAAAAAGGGTGCAGGCATGTGCTGGTGGTTCTGTTTGCTTCAGCAGTCTTGTTCTCCATCCTTCTCTTCCTGCACTGTGTCCCCACAGGCTGGCCTCTGTGGACTCCATCACTGGGCTGTGTTCCTTCCAGCAGGGATTGGCCAGTGAGAGGCAGTGTTAGGACATCAGAGGGCAGGTAGGGGAGATTTGAAGAATCATTGAAGATTATCAGAGATTTAGGCGGTGGTGATGACTATCACAACTGCTGTTTTGGATGTGTTATCTTTGTTGGAAAATTAACACAGCCCCTGACACCTTGAACTCTCAAGCTTGGGGGTGGAATGGGTGGAGAATAAACAGAAAGCCTTTATGGTGGCCTTAAAGGGATCTGTTATCTTTTATAGATGCAAGACAGACATGGCTGATGATCAGGCCCAAGGCCTGATTGTGCAGTTTGCAAAATTGTAAAGGCATTTAAATACACAACCCCAGTGATCTCTTGTGCCAAGGTAAGGGTACTGATTGGGAAGTTGTGGGTCCCTGAGGCTTGGAATGGGAATATTTGCAGACACAGATGAATCTGAGAACTTTGAATTCCTAATTCCCAGATACCCTTGTGTGAAGGAATTAGCCTTACCATGCATAAAAAACTTTTAGGGACTTGTCTTTTCCCATATCTAGTAATTTTTTATTATTTGCCAGATATTATATATAAAATAACTACAGTGGCTCTAAATGATATCTCCCGCTGGAACATCCACCCTGTACCAAAACCAAGGACTGATTACTCAATCCAGTCAGAGATTGAGCTGGGTTGGGGCTGATTAAAATCTTCCATTTTAATAAGATTCAATCTATGGATTCATTTTTGTTTCTAGGGCATGGCCCTCTTGTGTTTCCAGTTGACAGGCTGGTGATTCTATGTCTCTTCAGCCCCCAAGGGCTGGAGGAAATTCAATTCTGCCCTTCTAAGGTGTTTTGTCACTGAATAACAAACCATTTCAGGTCTCATCTGATTATTGCATTGGCTCAAAACTTGTAATATGTCAACTGAATCGGGTCCATCACATTATAAAATGATGATAAAGGGAACTGATGCAGTAGACAGTCCCATCCAAAAAGGGTTGGGGGAGAGTAGGAGGCACACAGTAGTCCCCACACTATGGAAATTCTGACATCTACCAGTTGCCCCTGCTCCAGGATCAGAAAATGCACTTTGTTTAGGACTGTCACAGGACAAAATTACAGCAAATCTGAAGTTCTCAATTGGCTTTATTGCATTTCTAGAATTGGGCAACATTTCATACCATAAAATAGAATGAGTGTTCCAATGAGCTGAGCAAAAGAGGTTGACTTTATAGACAGAAAAAAAAAAAAAGGGCCGAAGAAAGCAGAAACAAAGAATGAAACAGATTGGTAATTCACATTTACTTTTGTTGTAAGGTGGGAACAGGGCGAAAGAATGATAGAAAAATAACTGATTGTGTAACATCAGTTTACTTCTTTTGTGTGAGGGTTAAAGCAGAGGGAACTTCATTATCATGCCCATAGAAGATTTAAACTGATCTGTTTGGGAAACTGGCTGTTCTCTCTCTCAACTTAGTTTAGGTTTGCTGATGTGGAACTTCAGCAGGTCAGCACCGTTTTGTTTTTCAGTCTGATCTGTTTGGGCCTACCGTAGGAACTAAGTCCAGAACAATGGCCTCCTGTAATTTTTATCTGGCAGGACCCGCTTTTGCTCTCTCTGGGCTGTGGTGCTGCCCTGTGAGTCATCCTTTTCCATAAGAAACGGCCCGTGTTGCCTCTGGGTAGTTTTTTTTTTTACTGTTCTCAGCCTGATTCCTTTTCCTAGAAGTCTGAGGGCCCAACGGCGTCATTTCATATTGTGCTGTCTGTGTCCCTTTCAATCTAAACTAGTACAGTTCTTTTAAAAAACTTTAGTGTCTTTTATATAAATTTATAATCACCGCACACTGTTAGGTAAAAGCCACACCCACATCTCCTTCTGAGACAGATCCTTCTCTACCCAGGGCTGCCTGTGAGGCTGCTGAGAGACAATTCACTAGGATTCTTAAGCGCCTTAATCTTCATCTGAGAGGGGCTGCAAAGCACACCCTTAAGACTTTTAGAAGCCCTGCGAGGTACACATAGATCATTCTGAGGTCTTCACAAAGGGTCTTAACAGCCACACTCTTAAGATAAATAAAGCTGTGCTTTATTGATTGTAACCTGAATTTTATCTTTGTCCTGAAGTTATTCTTGTCTTTAGAGTCTTTTGCTGAATGCAGGAGGTCCTGGCTCTTTTAAATTTCCTCTAAATTTGGCTCAAAAACGTAAATAGTTTCACTTTTAGTTTATGTCTAGTCCTATTAAATAAATCTTTGCCTACTTCAGAGTCAAGAAGCTATTCTTCTTTTTTCTGTTCTGGAGACTTGATTGTGTTTGCTTTCATACTTGAGGCTATGATCTACCTTGAATTTATTTTTAGGTTCTGTGGAAGGGAGGGGTCAAGGTTCATTTTTATCCACAGGGTTATCCAATAGCTTCATGACTGTTTATTGTAGCAAAATCTTTGTTCTAAAGCAAATAATCTCATATATATGATTATTATATATTTGTGTATGTAAATCATTTTTATATATAATTTTATTTTAATTGTATGTATATATGGTTTATATATATATATTTCTGGATAATTATTCTGTTCCTTTGGTCTCTTTGTTCTTGCATGAATACCACACTGTCTTTCTTGATTACTGTAACTATATTTATTTATTTATTTATTTATTTTTATTTTGTTTTGTCCTTTTTGAGACCGGCCGCACCGCGCTCAGCCAGTGAGTGCTGTGAGCGCACCGGTCATCCCTATATAGGATCCGAACCCACGGCGGGAGCGCTGCTGCGCTCCCAGCGCTGCACTCTCCCGAGTGCACCACGGGCTCGGCCCTACTGTAACTGTATTTTAAGTCTTGATGTCAGTAGTTTGTTATTTAATTTTATTATTCTTCAGGATTATTTTGGCTTATTTATTTATTTATTTATGGCAGCTGGCCTGTGTGGGCATCCAGACCCTTGACCTTGGTGTTATCAGCACCACCCTCTAACCAAGTGAGCTAACCAGCCAGTTCTATTTTGGCTATTTTAGATTCTTTGTATTTCTGTATAAGGTTTATAATAACTTTGTCAATTTCCTAAAAATAAATAAATAAACTGCTGGGATTTTGATTGGGATTGCATCCAGTGTGTAGATTAATTTACAGGTAATTGACACCTTAACAGTATTGAGTTTTCCAATCCATGAATATGGAGATTTTATCAATTTATTTAGTTCTTTATTTTTCCTCAACAAGATTTTGTAGTTTTTATTTTAGAGGTCTTGTACATCTTTTATCAAATTTATCCCTAGGTCTTTGAGTTTTTTTCTAATGAAAATGGAGAAAAACACATTAAAAAGTGTTCAACAAGGAAATGAAAATTAAAGCCACAGTGAGATACAATTATACACCCACTAAAATGTCCCCTCCCCATTATGAAATCACTGAAAACAGTAGGTCTTGGCTACTGTGACTCTCATATTCCCTCTAAAGGCTGCAGGAGAGTTCTTCCTTGCCTCTTCCTAGCTACTGGTGACTTGCCAGTCATTGTTGGTATTGTAGCAGCATCACTCCAGTCCTCTGTCTTCACGTGGCATTCTCCCTGTGTGTCTTCACACGGGCTTCACTCTGTGTGCCTCTGTCTCTGTGTCCAAATTTCCACTTTTTATAAGGACACCTGTCATATTGGATTCGGACTTCTTAATTCAATTACCTCTATAAAGACCCTATTTCTGAATAAGGTCCCATTTTGAAGTACTGGGAGTTAGGACTTTAGATTATCTTTTTGGGGGGACACAATTCAACCCATCACAGTGGATGACCCACATCATCTCACAGGGTACAAGTTCTTAGTAATCCTGTCTTTATGGGGTTGCCAGCGTTTCCCACTGACCATTCTTGGATGTGGAAATACTTAAGGCTCACAACTGAATTCTAGACATAGTCCTCTTTATTCCGTTGTATAACAGCAACACAGTTTCTCCCAATAATTGGGATCAATCAGCCTGGCCATTGTAGTAAGTCATTCTCTGTCTGTTAGTTCAATAGCAAAGGGACATGAGCAAGGGACAGTCTCAACTTCTGACAGAATCATGTCTGGGTTTTTTGGTGGAAGCATTCTTTCCTTGGGCACCAAGACACAATATTGAGAGATTCCAAAGCCCTGGGGATAAAGAAAAGATCCTAAAAGTTTCCAGAGAGAAAAAGCCATAGACATAGGACTGAGTATCAGAATGGCACTGAAATTTTCAATGGAAACAATAAAAAACAGGAGAAGAAGGAACAATGTCTTAAAAATGTGAAACCTAAAGATCTCTATCCAGCTAAAGTAGACTTGCTTCTGGGATTCTTCCACTGCCAACCTAGTTGTAGCTTTCTCAGGTCTTCTATGACAATTAACACTTGTTCACCTATTTTCCAGATTCTAAAGTATTTTATGGTGTTCTTTTCTCCTTGCTTTTGTAGATTTGTGCTTTTATAAAAACTTTGTTTACTGTTATTTTAATGGGGTTTGGGGAAGGAACCATTAATGCAGAATTGCTTTAATTTTTATAGAGAGAAATTCCTTGAAAACATTTCTTTTTGATACTGATACTTAGAAGATATTTTCAAGTGGCCAGATCATGAGGCTTCATAGAGATTGAGTGCCTTCAGTAACTTTAAACTATCACTTCAGGGATAAACATGATTTTCAATGTTCAGAAAAAATTATCATGATTTCTTCTGGAGACCAGACTGAGATATAAACTGCTTGATCGCTGGAAGTTTGCTCTTTCCCAGCACTTGATTTTCTACACTTTAGAGGAAGAAATTGATGGCCTGGAATCAGATTTATTGTTCTCCCAACTTTTTCTTTTGAAAAGTTCAGATCTATGGACAAGTTAACGTGCAGTGCAGAGAACATCCATATCTCCTTCATCTGGCTTCATCTGTTGGTAACATTTTGCCAATTTGCTTTCTCTCTCTCTCATGTATATATGTGTGTGTGTGAGAGACAAAACAATGTATATTACATATGTACATTATAATATAGAGTGACAAGGCACCATATATATCATATATATTTTATATATAAATTTAATAGTAATTGACACTTCATCCATATGGGATTGTCTTAGTCAGTTCGGGCTGCTGTAACAAAGTGCCATAGACTGGGTGGCTTGTAAACAAGAGGAATTTATTTCTCAGAGTTCTAGAGGTTGGAAGTCTGAGATCAGAGTGCCAGCATGGTGGGGTTCTGGTGAGGGCCTCTTCCAGGTTGCAGGCTGCTGACTTCTTGTGTCCTCACATGGCAGAAGGAGGCCAAGAGAGCTCTATGGGTCCCTATTATAAGGTCTCTGTTGTAATCCTCTTCATGAGGGCTCTAGCCTTATGACCTGATCACCTGCCAAAGGCCCCCACCTCTTAATATCACTTTAGGAGTTATGATTTCAACATATGAATTTTGGGTGGGACACAAACATTCAAATCATTGCTGGGATAGTTTAAAATAATTTCTAAACACCTTAACAAAACATGCATTTCTAACATCATTGTATTCAGAGTGGATTAAAAGTCTATTGAATAATAACTCCAGAGCTAGGCTTTAAAAGAAGTCTAGTAAAAACACACACACACACCCTTAATTTCTGGGACCTCGTTTAATCTGAATATATAGAATCCTCTGACATAGCCACCAAATAATACTGCCATTCCTAATAACATATACTTTTGTTGAAGGTTCCTAATTTAGTAGAAACAAAGGGTAGGTAAAGCAGCTTATGCTGAGACCCATGTTTTCCATCACTGGACTGAAAAGATGCCCTGATGAAGAGCAACAGATAATATCCTTTTCAGTGATATAAAGCTATTGTGATTAGTAATTTTAAAATATTATGTTTTATATTTTTTAACTGTGAGAAACCTTTTTTGAAACTTACCTAAAGTATAGTGGTCAAGATTTGTGCCACATGTTCATGAAGTAATTTACAAATGTTGAGAATCTCAGGAATACCCCACAAAGATTACCAAATTGATGTCTTAAAGAAAAAAAAAGGAAGTGTAAATAAAATGAAAACTTTGCTTAAAAACGCTCTCTTCTTGTGTCCTCAGTGATTCAGTGAGGGAAGGTGTTAATAGGTAGGGAGAGAGAGAAACCACCTCATGACTTAGTAGATAGATATCAACCACTTAAAGTGTTACAAGTTAAAATTCTCAACTTTATTCCTGTTTAAAACTAAATAGATCGGGCCGGCCCGGTGGTGCACTGGATAGTGCGCCGCTTGGGAAGTGCGGCGGCGCTCCCGCCCGAGGGTTCGGATCCCACATACAGACCGGTTCCCGCTCACTGGCTGAGCGAGGCGCGGGGGTGACACCGGGGGTTGCGATCCCGTTGCCGGTCCCCGGTCCGGTACGGGGGCAACACTGAGGGTTGCGATCTGTTGCCGGACACGGAAAAAGACAAAAAAAAAAAAAAAAAAAAAAAAAAAAAAAA